CTTAGTAGTAACATGAAGTTCCTAGTTTCCCTCAATTTCGTATAAGGGTAATGACCATCAAGTACTTAAATTATATATAAAAAAAAACTAGTGGTATTATTTGTCTAGTGCCACCAGTACTAGGTACAAAGGACGGACCTTCATAACTATACATAGATATTGTACATAGCAACTATTGAACTATGTCTAGACATGAAAAATAGAATATATCTTTCATTAGTTAAGTACACAATATAAATGATAACTTTTTCGATATTTTCAACGTGTACCTTTAATATATGGAAAATTATATAATCCTAAGTGATAGTATTATAGAACAGTTTGTTTGTTACATTATCATAGTTTTGTTGATGAGGATTCTGTCTTTTGTTGAGTAGGTACAGTAAGGTCGACGCAATAAATAGGCGGTCGGCTGCAGAGGCACGTGTTGCAGATTTGATTCTGTTTATTGTGTGACCCATTTGACTGCGGATGCAATTTGTTTGTTGACAAACACAATATACTGGGAAAAAATCTACCGGAGACACCTTTATTATAAACAAGCTTTTGTCTGCGACTTTGTTTGCGTGGAATAGTGACTGTGACTTCCTGCAGTTTTTTTGTTTTAAAAACTATCCTATTTCTCGAGTTCCAAAATATGCCTGTACCAAATGTCACACAAATAGGTTCAGTAGTTTAGGCGTGAATAAAAGACAGACAGACAAAGTTACTTTCGCATTTATAATATTAGTTTGGATATGTTATTTGAAAATGATCATAAAATTTGGGAAATATGGTATATTGCTACGAACAAAGCTACATGAAAAACCTAGCCAGACAATATTTTAATATCAAATGCTCGTAAATAATCAACTCGATCGTTTTATATTATATACTTTTTTGTATTTATTTATTTTTTCTTTCAAATTCTATGTTAAATTATAATCCATTTTAGATATTGCTTTTTTTCTATATAATTATATTTTTATTTGCGATCAAAATATTAAAATCAACATCTTTGGTTATTGCTAAGATATATACTGTATCTATTATTAATATTTGATACTGATATTAATAGTATTTTTTAACTTACAATATGTCTTAAAACTGCAATACATAAACTTAACATAATAAACTTTGAACTTTAATATTATAAAACCAAGAGCATAAAATCCCGTGCCAGTAGATTCAAATGATATTGTTGAAGGAAAACGTGAGGAAACCCACACGTTTGTGATATAATCTAACGAGTTAAATGCCTAGAGTACGGAAATCGCTAGTCCCATTTGTCATACTGGACTTGAATTGTGAGACGACGTGAACACAACGATTGTCGAGCTCTTTGCTTCGCATAAACGAGGATTATTATAGCTTATTCAAAGCCGCTAGGTAGAGTGACCATATACATTAAGTGTCTGGAAGTGGTTGGATGTAAGAGCCATGTTTCAGCAGAAATGGGTTGGCTTGACCAAAGTAATACACAAAATACCGGCGTGAAACAACGCCTGCTTTGTATTTGACGTGTGAGTGAGGCTACCGGAGAGCCCTAAAACTTCCCCTTTCCCGTCCTCAATTCCCTTCCGCGCTATCACTAAGAACTTACAAAAGGTCGGCAGCGTATTTGTACGCCTTTGGTGTTGCGGGTGTCCATGGATGTCAGGTTATCCATTATTATGATAGTTTGAAGACAAATCCTATAAAATAAAATGCAAAAAGCTAAAGATTAAGTTATGTACCCTTGCTCTTTGAGAGGTATTTTTGTAATGATGATAATCATTTAGTGCTGATGCTGGTATTACCGACGTCTATATAAGCCGACATACATAGTCGGATGTTTTCAAAGATGTGTGTATTTTTTAAAAGTGAAGAGCATACTTCGGCACGAATGGGCCGGCTTGACCGAAGTGATTCCACGGCTTAACATTCGGATTAATGTCTTCAATCCATTCTAAGTAGGGCACAATGTCGACCCGAAAATTAGCTTAAGAAAAGGCTTAAAAGCGACAACCCTATTGGACTCATCAAATGGTGAGGAAGGCAACGATTTGCATATGTAGCTAGCAATAGTTTTTACGGCTTACGACGTGGACTCGAAGTCTTAAAAACCAAGTTAAAAAAATCTGTGATAGGTTTACTTCTACTTTTATCCTTTGCTTGACGTTCAAAAATGCCTCTTGTGGTCTATTTGAAACAAATGATTTTGACTTTTTGATTGAAAATGTCAGTGCCCACTTTTCATGCATGAAACGGGTTTGTAACCTGGCAACTAACAATTTAACACTATAGGGAAAACATCGTGAGGAGCCCCAGACTTATAATTTCGCCAATCTGCCTTAAGCAAGCGTGAGCTCAAACCTGTGAAAAGAGGCATTTTTTCAGCAGTAGCCACTAATAGGGGTGTACAATAAAAACTTATACAAAACAATAATAGCGTTAAGTATCGATTCGAATCGACTTTGTTGAAATAGATTTCAGCAAAATTAGCCTACGTGTTATTTTAGACTAAAAGTAGGCGCGATCCAGAACCAGAACCAGGCCCAAGCAAAAAGCGAGTAGACTACCACAGGTAGAATCCAACAAAGCTGATATTCAGCCGGAGTTGCAGATTAAGCGCAATAAGGTACCGCGGACTCCGCCTGGAGCAGTGGATGGAACGTAGTGGTTTTTAATCAGTAAGAGTCGGATACACCCTCTCGCCTCACCCTATGGAAGTCATATGATTGTTTTCCTACCTCAAAAACAAAAAAAAAGACTACCGTGTTTTCATTCAGATCCATTCAGAAACAAATATAGATCCATCCATACATAGTTACAAACTTTTGCGTGTGTAATACTAGTGGGATAGTAATGGGATTCTTTCATTTTGAAGAAATTCGTGCAAAATTGCAAAAAATATGCCATGCGTTTATGTTATTAGATTTGTATTCGTGATCTAGCATGGTTACGTTGTTACGTCGGTCTCATTAGCGTAGTACCACATCCTCATTTCATTGTATACACTTTAACGTAACGTCAGGCAATTTGAGGCTGGGACACGTAACTGTTTGACGGGAAACCGTCCCTTTGGCAGACCATTTATAAATGAGTCAACATTTTTAGGTACATTTTTGATGTACCTATTTATTAGAAGTTTCAATCCAACTAGCAAACATTGTGGAAAACCCTTTTTATGTAAATGGGGTCCTATTGTAAATATATACTTATATTAAAACTATTATTAACAGAGATATGATTATTTGATTGTTTCAATTGAAAAGACTCTGAAACCAGTTAACTGATTTGGAAAATTATTTCTAAAACTACATTATTCCCAGCGGTGATATGGAAGACAGAGGAGTTAGCGATAGCGTGACGAGTGACAGGATAGAATGGAAGAAAAAAACGTATTGCGCCGACCCCAAATAAAATGGGACAAGGGCAGGAAGATGATGATGATGACATTATTCCCAGCGGTCATGCGAAACACAGCTAATGTCTAAGAAATTTCTTTGTTATTGAATATATGAATTAGTAGCTTAGCTTAAGTAGCGCGAAATTGAAGTCAAAATTTTGTGTTCATCGGTTGGATGATTTGTTTTCTTTCATTAAAACATTATCGTCTCTAGGATTTTCCCCTGTATCGTTGGGTGCGTTTACAAACACATCATCATCATCATCATCATCATCAGCCTATAAGTGCCCACTGCTGAGCAAAGGCCTCTTCTCACACGGAGAAGGTTTGAGCATTAATCACCACGCTTGCTCAATGCGGGTTGGCGATTTCAAACTTACAATTAGAAATTATAAGTCTAGGTTTCCTCACGATGTTAACCTTCACCTACAAACACATAACTTCACTTAAATTTTACACCTAGATTCAGTATCAACAATGAACTGTGTAAATGTCTACCACAATTTAAACTTAGCGGAATGTGGTTTTACTGAACATGCACTTGTGCACATATGAACAGGCGTATTTTAAGATGGATCTATATTTATTTAGTTGATACACAGCCAAGTTCTTTGTGGTTTACTTTTTGAAGAGAGAACATTATCAATTGATTTCTCTCGCACAGGCAATGATGAGAGGGAATATGAAACTCTTACTAACTAAATCCCCCCCCCCATACCTTCTCCTGCTCCAGGACGAAGAAGCGGTATTTTATTGCGCTTGCCCTGCGACCCCCACTAAGTATTGGCCATATTAAGCCCCATGTATAGTGGTCTATTGGCTTTTAGTTAATTGTGACTTGTGATCAATCATGAGAATGGATATTATTAGAGGTTGTGTCTAGTTTTATATACAGATGTGTTGAATGGCAACGCTGCCAGCATCGACGTCATACCAAAGACGTAGATGACTGTTGACAGTTTTATGAATACTTTAAGCCATATGACGTTTTTTTTTTAATTTATTATTAGAATTAAAATATTTGATATTACTATTATTGGCATTAGGTAGGTAGTTAAAGAACATTGGGCAAACTACTATGGCACTGCGTTGCGCTCTGTCTTGGCACTGTACCTATATAGAAGTGAAAGTGTCCAATCCCCTTTTAGTTACATTACCTGTAGTATCATGTTCTGTAGTATCCAAATTGATTAATATACTATTGTTTTAAACTAAGCGGGTTTTCAACTAAGAGCTAATGAAGTTTAATACACCATTCATCTTAACAAAGTTCACAGTACAAGTGGAATCAACCTCTCGCTACGGAAGCAGTTAAAACCGTCATGAAATTGTTTCTGAAGTTGTAGAAGAAACTTCCTGATATCCAAGTCAACAGAACAGTCTACAAAAGTTGTAAAAAGTATTTGTTACATTTTAATTGTCATTCAGAATTATAGTTAAATACAATAAATCCAATTTTAATTAAGTTTAAAGTGTATTGTGTACTGAAAGAAAAAGAAATATACCAACCGCATAATACCTACTCGGAACATGTCACAAGAATTACTGGCACACAAAATAAATTACGTAATTACCACAATACTCCTTCGAGCCGGAAGCACCATGGGAAAAAATACACAAAATAACTTACCACCATAATAATACCATGGCAAAAAAATCCGTAACACTTCACAACACAACACAAGAACTCCGACTTCCACTGTTACACCGTAGGCCCGTCGGTTCGAACCCCGACGTAGTTTTGAACTGAAAACTTGGTGCAAAAGCGGTTCGCGTGTTGAACCGCTAGCAACCCACAGCAAAACAGTTGCACATAACATTTGAATAAAGAATTAGGTCTATATTTAAAAGGATGTTTTTTTTTCGTTTTTTTACGTCGTCGTGCTAACAGGACAGTCTCGTGGACACAATGATTGGGAAATATTAGGTAAGTGATGTTGTATGTGGTAATAATAAACTGTTTGTTGATAACCAGTTGCCATGGCAACGCTAGTATCACTTTTTGTTCGAAGGATTTAAATTTTTATAAGACTGTGTTTCTGCATTGTTTTTCTCAAATTGGACATTTCTTGCGTTCTATTTTCGAACGTATTCTATATTAATAATTGAACGTAAAATTTGAAAAATACGATTGTAACTTTAATAAATAACGAAATTGTTCTTGATTTTAGTATCGATAAAATCTAAGATACTAAATTGTAAAAAAATATAATTTAGAATTCGGTTTAAGGCTAATAAATTGAAATTTTTACTGCCTTGTTTGGAGGTTATCGCCAATTATGATACCTGATCGCTATAAATATATTTTCAATCTTATTTTCTCTGCTATAACTACCTACCTAAGTACAGTCGTAAAAAGACACGTTTCTATTATAACTACAACAATCTCGTAAATTGAAGGTGCTTAGGAGATATTGAACTTTACAATGGATAGGTATGACAACTTTATATTGTACCTTAATAAATAAAAAAAAAGGTTCAAATTATGAAAACTCTATATTTTAGTTTATTACTTAAAAAGTTGTTGTAGCGTATATTATGTTCAATTTCTTAGTGTTGATAGTAGATTATTGAGTGTAATTCAAGTAGATTTTTTGACAAAAGTTGGAGTCGAAGTCCAGTCTAGTTTGATCAAGAACACAAACTTAACTTTGGAGTGATTTTTTAACAAACAAAATAATGCAATAAAGAAGAAACTGTATTTCGAAATATTTAAAATCTCAATGTAATTTTAATATCAGAATTGTTTAATTAAAAGTACTTTTTAGTATAAAAACGATTGAAGATTACTAAAGTAAATTCTAAAAAAAATGTTGAGCACTCCTCCACGAACGTCAGTGTATCAGTAATATGACATTTGAGTGCGGCACTCGCGACGTCGCCGCCTCGGCCGCGCTTCGGGCACGCGACATTGACCAACTCACGACCTTGGGGATTTACTGGAATTATCATGAACGTAGGAAGAGTCGCATGTTCAAGCTAAAAATTTTGTACAAATAAACCTTGAAGATACGAAATAAAAACAGACTGTAAACGAAACAAGAGAAGCAAAGGCAGAAAGAAGTCTAAATGTGGGAGAGCCATGTTTTGGCTCGAAAGGATACCACGGCCTGATATAAAAGTGGCGTGAAACAACGCTTACGGTGTGTATAACCATGTCTGTTACTAGATGCCTGCTTCTCTCCCATACTTAAATGGCCCAATCCCAAACCGAAGACAGGAAACGTGCTTAAAACTTTCGTGGTATTGCCGATGTCTATGGTCGTCGTCTTATGCGGCTGATCCGTCTGCTCATTTGCAGGCCTATACTATAAGAAAGAAATAAATATTCATTAAAGTTAACCGAATCGTGTGTTCAGATCAGAGTTGAAAATATTATATTAGTCTTATCAAAGGTGACGTAAGGATCGACTACACAAGACGAAGAAACTGCGATAGCTGATAATTCAGGATGTTTTAAATTTCAATTTTTAACCCACCAAGGTATTATGGGAAATCGTCATCCTTTTGCAATTATTGAAAACCGAACAATAACCAATTGAGAATAAAACAAATAACTGAACGAATCTCTCTCTTCTGTCCGTCACTCGTATTGTTTTGTTTTCATCACCTGGACCAGTATGTCTCCTATAATCATCCTATTATTAATTTATATATAGTTAAAAAGAGCGCTTATCATTGGCAGAATTTTGAAATTTAAGTACCTACATAATGTTTGAGTGTTAGGAAATAATATACATATGATACAACGCAAAACAATATGTTGAGTCCTAAGTCGTCGGCAATAAAGGCAATATGCAGCACGATTATTGTGCAAGACACGATCTTTTGCTCGTACCTATAATCTTGTCATTTGACTCAATATATGAATTATCAATAACTTTACTAAACAATTTACAAATGTTTCCATATTTCACCATTCATTAATATAAAGTTTATTTTTCAGAAACTACTTTTAATCATGTTAATCATAATTTAGTATTTACACGCATTGTCTAGGTTAAACCCCTTATACATTAGGTATTTCATTTTACTATACAGAAGGGGTCACTGAACCCTTTATTCTACGCCCCCACGCGATGCCTAACGAAACTACAAAGTTTTCTGAAACAATAGAACTGTTTCATATCTATTGACAAATTAGTTCCGTCGAAATTACAAGGAAGCGTGTTTTCACGTAATCTTAATTTATATGTCTGTGTCCTTAGTAATGATTTCCGGTTGACTTTCATAAAATTAGTTGCTGAATTTGATTGACAGTGTAATTGATGACTATAAACTTTTTTAACTAATACCTTGTAAATAAGAATACCGTTTTTTTAAATAAGATAATAGGCTAGCTTAATTCCTGTGTAATTCACCATACCGATTTGAAAAATTGACATGACTAGGTATATAAAAAATCCTATTTCATAAAAATTAACTGTTAAGAATTTCCATACGATAGTAGCGAAACATTGTAATATTTAGTTTTCCCTTCTATCCTTGAAATGGCAAACAAAGATTATTTTGGTAGCCAAGCAACGTCGACCAAGTGCGCAACGAATGGATTCTCAGAAACATCCTTTTTGTAGGTCCTTAAAACAAAACCGCGAAAGAGTTCTCTTACCTCACCTTTTAAATATAGTATCTAAAACTGGCTAAACATTTCTGGTATAAAATAATCCTGTTAGCTAGAATACCTCAAAAAAAGTTTTTTATTTAAAAAGAAAATTGAGGTAAGGTAAACTCTTTAAACGTCAAAATGGAAGAATAGCCCGTCAGACTGTCCGTCAGTGAAGGTAGGTCTTTGTTCCAAAGTGTAGATTCTAATGGAGAAGTACGAGCAAGGAAGTCTAGACTGTTTAGGTTTGTGTTATTATAATTTTTCAGTGTTTGTTTGTTTCATTTGACTATAAGTATAAATATAGGTGATTAGTTGACGTGGCACATCATTCGTGAAATTACGTGAAGTTCTATTTTCAAAATTTATCTGCAACATAGCGGACATTCAAGCATTGTTAGACAAGCCCTTAACTCTAGGCTGAAGACGTGTCTTTCTCCTTCAGAAATTCCTTAAAAGTAGCGTGACCCAAAATTTTCTAACCCCAAAAATAAATTGTTGGCAATTAATAAAACAGATAGGACGCCCAAATTAAATAAGGGCTTTCAATCTGGGTCAAGTGAATCCTTTTCCCTATAATGGGTTAACATGTAAACTGTTCGTAGGAAAACTTATTAATTGTTAGAGGTATAATAACTTGTACTTAATCGCTGGAGGCTTTGACCTTGAAATGAAATCGATATTAAACCACTCGTTACCGCTAACTGGTTGTATAATATTTTTCATATAGCGATCTTGCCTGGTTTTGACTTTGGTGTTTATTCATGAATTCTCTAAGTTATTTAACTTTTTTTCCTCATTCTTTTTCGCGGTAACTGATTGAGCTTGCATTCCAACTAAACATCGGCCCTGTTGTTAGTCTACTAGCTGTTTGAGTATGGTTCTGGCCGGGTGGTGAGCAACCCTTGCTCGCGGTCTTCAGATCTGCGTTTACAATTGTCGGAGATCATCGCCCGAAGTGTCACCTTCTGTGGCAGCTGGAGCGTGAGAAGGATGGTTCCTCTAGCGCGCCCCCATTCTTTGCCAGCATCACTGCTTTGCAGAAAAAGGATTTGGCTTCCCAGTTCTTTTCGGGGACCACACCATGGCCATGACTAAGGCCGGACGCAAGAGCACCTCTCCACCATGTCAATTTTCGTTCAATTTTTGATCTATACATAAAATACTGCTCATGATAAGTTTCATATTGGAGATAGTTCAGTTATAAAAACTTTCTAAACACAAAACATAAAAAAAGAAATCACGACCTACATATATGACCTTTTTGTGTATAGTCAATTGGTAAAATAGCTGTCCGTTTGTATTGTGGCTAACAGTTCTGCCGTTATTGTCCACAATAGCAATATAGGGATATAAATGCATTTTAAAATGTCACTTCAGAAGCTAGACGTCTACATATGACAATTACGTCTAACAGATGTAATTGTAATTTATGAAGATTTAATTTAAAAGAATATTTAGATATTGATATTTATTTCTGATTGAGATGATGTCAACATTAATCAATTTATTTTTTTATACTAATAAAGATTGCGTCGATCTGTACGTGCTACGTAAGTGGAATGTGAGGCTGGCTCGTGATTGGCATGAGAAAAATTACCCTTAAATTATGATTAAACTTTTTAACATTTCTTTTTAAAGTATCATATTTCCTGCAGAATTGGCAAGCTCAATCGGAGTGATAGCACAGCCTTACAGAAAGCCAGCAAAGCTACAGCTTTGTATTTCCATAAGTTACCGGATGCCCAATGTCCTCAACACTTCCCAATCCATAAATCCCCAAAACGCCTTATCGCCAAAAAGCCGCCAACGCACTTGCAACTCTGGTGTAGCGGGCTTTCATGAGTGGCGCCGATTAGGTACTTACTATCAGGTAAAAAGTGCTGGATAGCTGCCGTGTTATAAAAAAAAACCTATGGCTCTTACTTAGATGTAAGAAAAATATATTTTTTATAATGACAGAAATGAATAATGACAGTAAACGCCTGTCAACTCGCCCACCAAATCTACAATATCTTATCTGCTGAGTAACATCACCTGCGAATGTAGTGGAAGTAGAAGTACCTTTATGAGATATCAATAATAATAATATTATATTATTGGGTAGCTTAAATATGACACTGTTTATACTTAAAGACACGTATGACCTAAATTCCTTATTGATATCTCATAAAGGTACTTTTACTTCCAGTACACAAATCAGAACTAGTTTGTAACGAAATTTCAAGTTTGTGATATTAGATTTGTGTTCTCCAGGAGAAAATGTAAAAACCTTTGGCAGACATTTATTCGACTTGAATTCTTGTAGCCATTTTATTCGACCAACCTCTTACACTTACGAGAAATAATACGAGGCTTATATGAGTTGGGATATATGAATATGTGACTGTTATTGTTGTGTTTACTCTTTGTTTATGAAGCCTTTTATTTCTATTACGTCTTGTTTCTCGCGCAGTTTATAAAAGTGTTGGTTTGTGTTTAACCATTTTTAAACTTTAAAATTTATAAGTTTATTGTGTGTTTTATTAGAATTATATTATTTATATACCAAACGAATATTATAAATGCGAAGGTAACTCTGTTTGTCTGTCTTCTCTTCACGCCTAAACTACTGAACCTATTTGTGTGAAATTTGGTACAGACATAGTTTGGAACTCGAGAAAGGACATAGGATAGTTTTTTAACCAAAAATCTGCAGGAAGTCACTATTCCACGCGAAGAAAGTCGCTGGCAAAAGCTATTATGAAATAAGATTATTAAATCAACTTAATGATTTAGGGCTAGTAATTTTTTTACAATATTACCTTAACAGAAATATAAATAATTTTATACAATTATATAAAGCTAGCAAAAAATCTATAATAAATTATTAGACTTAAAATTAACAAATATCTCTTGTCTATTCAATACAAAGAACATTACAATACATTCATCCAATAATTATAATTATTATCACAACATAGTATGGAACAAAGTCGCTTTGTCTGTATCTCTGTGCATGCTTAAATCTTTAAAAATAAGCAACGTATTGATGCGTTTCTTAACCGAGTGATTGAAGAGGAAAGTTTTTATGTATCATAACATCTATTTATTAGTTAATTTATATAAAAAAGACGGTTATTACAAAAATATATGTATATTAGTGTAAAATAAATGTACTTAATCTTATTTATTGTATAAAGCTGAAAATAATCCATATAATCAGCCTAGTCAGACAAACACCTCTTGACTGAACAATATAGAGGATAAAATAAAAACATTTAATAATAATGTTAGGTGTATATAAAATAAACAATAAAATAATGCTCATGCACCCGCCCTTGAACTTGCTCCAGTAGCTAGTGCAATTCGCCGGAGACGCGACAGGAAGCGTTAGATTGGTGCCAGTTGTAAATTCAAAAGGCGAGCGTTGCCCATGTACCTGGCTAGTGGACGACAAAGAATATACAATTTTAGTACAAATTGGACAGTAGGAACAAAGAATTTCAGGTACGCTGATAGTTGATTCTTACATACAGTGATTACTGATTTTTTTTCACTGAGACTTTAATTAATTTTGTTTTGAAGAAGCTTCCTATACTTAAGTTATATTAAAATATGTTAATCTTTAACATTAACATTAAAATATAAACATATTTACTTACGTTATTTTTATAATTCCTGAACGCAAAAGCGGAGTTCTAAATATATAAACGTAACACCCCCTTTTCCAAGCTTTTCATAGATATATTCTAGATGTTATTTAAGTGTGGGAAGACCAAACTTCGGCACAAATGGGTACAGAAAACCGTCGTGAAACCACTACAGCTTTGTATTTCGCCGTGTGATTGAGGTTACCGGAGGCTCAATCCCTTCCCTATCCTTAAATTTCCAAACCCCTTGTCCCTCGTAACTCCTTTGGTATACTGGTAGTAGTAGTAGCAGTTTGCTTGTTTGCTGACCGATACCATAAAAAAACTGTCTTTCCAATATTTTTTTTACTTTTAATACTTATAAACTCACTGACGTATCTACGCACTACTCTTTGGGATTACGTCGACAATGGCTGGCAATTATTGTAGCGCCGCTGTCGCGAATAAGGATATGTCGTCTGCACAGCGGCTGCTTGCTATTAACTATCGATTAGGCTCTTTAATTGAGGAGAGCATGGGGTACCCTCGTGGAATTAATGGAAATTGACTACCTATAGGGTTTTTGTATGTACAAATTGTAATTGGAATTCTTTTTCGTGATGGCTGATTGGGAGCGCTAATGAATGGTTTTACCGTGACTTTTTTGCTTGGGGAATATTGAACCGTAAGACATTTGTATAAAGCATTTTTTAGGCTCACGCTTTCATCTTATGGTCGTATGTATAACCCTTACTAGTCATGTGGATCCAGTCAGTACTATTGTGTTCGCCGTATTTAATTGGGTAGGTATCATCGTCGGTATCATATTGACAGCGTATTTTTATTACATATACTAGATATTTGTGTTCGATTTTTGATCAACCAATTTTATGATTTGAAATTGTATTTACCTAAATAGCGTAATTTTATATTATACATATAGATATAATACTAGTATATTTGTACAAATTCAATGTATTTGCTTATCCACCTTTTAAAAATAGCCTTGTAACAAATATCTATTTCTGGTAGACGACTTGTGAGACTATCAAAGATATCCTCTTCAGTCTAACAAATTAGATTGTTGAGTGGATCTGTTCTATCTTAAGACATTTGAATATTCAATTATAGGTGTCGAGATAGTGCTATTTTGAATACCTATTTTTATACCGGCTGTAGGCATTTCCATTTATGCTTAATCTTTTCATGAAACACCCAATAATTTATTTCTAAAAAAAACAGTATAATAAATTATAGTTCCAGTCCTTTTAAAAGGAAAATTAAAAGTGTTTTGACTAGACAAAACAAGTAATTAACCAAATTAAGGAGATAAAACAAAAGGTCATTGCAAGTCATTATGAATTACAGACTTTTTCTTAAAATTTCTTTGAATTAACTGACAATATTTTTTTTTTTAATTTATTGTTTACAGTCTCCACGGACTCGAGATCCGTGCCTTTGTCATACAATTTCCAAAAACTTCATATTATTCAAATTTCATATACAAAAATACTGACTTTACATTTTATAGGAATTACATGTTCATTTGAATATCTACAATAATACAATCTTATTTTATATTACATTTATCTACGGCTCTGCTGAGTCAGCCCACCAACACGCTGGGTGAGCCGGCCTGCTTCAGCTATAAGCCATCCGATCAACTATTTTTTGGAGACGGAACAACCTAACCTATCGCTGCCAACGTTTTGTACGTAGACGACACAGCCCACGCGACTGACAATTCTTAAAAATTACTTTTAAGAATTGAATTGAATTACTTTTTAGGAATTGAATATGCTGTTTCTCTCAACAGTTACACTGTGAATCATCAAACAACATTTTGTTTTTGATTGTAAATATAGCCCATTTAAAGTACGAATCTCCTTTTCGGCTAAACTACCACTTTATTTTACTATTTTCAGTTTCTCAGATTCTGCTACAGGCTCGTTTGAGTGGTGTACATTGAGATAATAAAGACTTTGCTCCCTCACTTAGTTATACCTTAGAACGTTAGGGTCGGTTTTATGGTCTTAAGTAAGTACAACGTGTAGCCTTATCTTGCCATTAATAAAGCCTATCCTTGCCTAAAATATAGCGGTTGACTTCCAGGATTTTGTAGTGTATAATATACTAATATTATAAAGGCGTTCGAGTGAGTTGCTGGCTTTTTCGGGTAATCCCGAAAAGGCCAGCAACTCACTCAGTATTTAGGGTTTCAGATATTTAGGGATTAAGGAGGAATTAGGGGGGGGACATCCGGCTACCTCAGTCTCACGGCGAAACACAACGTACTTATTTAAGTGTTGTTTTACGTCTGTATTCATTTCAAGTAAGACATTGGTATCACTCTGGTCAAGTCGGCTGATGCTCGCAGAAGCATGGCTCTCCCACACTTAATATTTTAATTGAGTTTAGCGGGATTTAAACTGCATATAACTTTCACCATAAACAGTATTCGTTTCACCTGGATTATGGACCTCCCCTTTATATTATTTTTATTCTCGTGGATATATTTATTTATCAGTGTCGTAAAGTACTACAAACAAAAAAACTAATTCTTTGAAATTTCACATCGTTTCTTGAATTTCTTTTCTCACTGTTATCGCTCTCGAACCGAAATTCCCTCAAGAAAATACATTATTCCAAGTACAATAGGTTTTGTTAACTAAAAGTTTACAATAAATTAGCAGCTTATCTTTTCACGGTCAGTCATCGTCTCAAGGTCTACCTTCAGTCGAGCAATTTACGAACGGAACGCATTAGCACCTACTATAATATTAGCTTGATATTAGTCGTTAACTGTGGCCATATTTATACGGATTTGGCTCAGTAGGTCAAGTTCTTATCGACTTATATTCGCTGTCGAATAAAGGATGATTATTTTTCTTTAAATTACTGTCGATATATAAAATTCAGGGTTACGCAAGCCAATCGTCGATATATACAATTCAGAGCTACAAAAGCTAAAGATTTCTTTTTAAGTTTGTTAATAAAAATAGCAACACAAGAGCTTCTATGGACAATGTTTTCGTAACCATAGCACTTAATAATATCTTTAAGATAAGTTTCTTTTTAAGAGATAGGTCGGCTAACTAGCAGTCGTTTTATACACATGACACCCAAACCCGGAACGACAATTGGGGATCACACAAAGAGTTGTTCCGTGCGGGAATCGAACTCGCGACACGTTATACGGCAGCCAGTTGCCAAGACACCGCACCAACCAAACCGACGGCATGTCAGTTTAATAAAAGTGTACACCATTTTATATTTTCTTTCATCTTAAAGCATTCCAATGTTAGTCTTCCAACCTCTTTTGAAAAATAACATTAATAATAATTTGACAAATGTTCATGTTCAATTGAACTTGCTCAAGAAGAAAGTATAAAGGCAAATGTAAGTACGCAAACAATGTGTACGAAGAATTAAAACAAAATTTAATATTATTATTGTGACACAAAAGGTCTTGAGATTCTCACAAATTGAAAGGAAATAACAAGACGTCACTCAAACATAGACAAATCGCGTACATCTTGTGTAACTCGTCTTAATTTCCGCAGAGAGGGCGCGAACTGAAATGGACTCTTTATGTAGATGGCTTTAAGTCTTTAATCCCTTAAAAGTGTACTAGGTAGGTATAGTAGACTCATTAATGTACATATTATGTATCTTCTTGTTGGTGTCTAAAACATGATGATTATAGATCTTCAGAACCATTTCTTGTTATCACTTTACATCATATTTTTATCATCAGCTTTTGTGCATACTGCTAAGCAAAGGCCTTTTCTCAAAAGGAAACAATTTTAGCATTTCATCATCATTATCATCATCATCAGCCTATAAGTTCCCACTGCTGAGCAAAGGCCTCTTCTCATACGGAGAAGGTTAGAGCATTAATCATCACGCTTGCTCATTGCGGGTTGGCGATTTCAAACTTATAATTGAAAATTATAAGTCCAGGTTTCCTCATGATGTTTACCTTCGTACCGTACCGTTCTACCGTATGTCAGTGGTGTCTAAATAATCATAGAAAGTACATATAACTCGGCAAAAGTTACATTGGTACTTGACAGGTTTCGAACCCACACCCTCATGCATGAGAAGCGGGCTGCTTAACCTCCGGGCCACCACGACATTTTTATGTTAGCATTTAGCAAAACGCATTCTAGAGGTGTATTAGCGTTTTCAAAATTACAATAAAAAAGTATTGAGGTAAGTTCAGATTTCCTCTACAGTTTGCCATTGGTGTTTTAATAATCTTGGAGGGTAAATATAACTCGATAAGTGGTCACTCACAGTCACATTGGTACTTGCCAGGTTCAATAAGGGGGAAGCGAGTGCTACTGCACGTTTTTTTTTTATTAAAAATGTCACAATTATCGTGTATTGACAACCAACTATCATTAATATAAGTTAATTTGACTTTCACTAGGATTTTTTTCTGTATCGTAGTTGTATTCACAAGCGTACGACTTCACATAATCATCAGCACGGAACAACAATTTGTGAATCACATAAAGAATTGTTCCGTGGAAAAATCAACCCGCATAATGTTGCCTGGCCAGCAGCCGTGCAGTCATGTCTTTATTTCATTACATACTTAGATAACGAAACTAATTAAATCAGGATTCGTAACTATTTAGCCTTCAATTCCAGCTACCCAAAACAAAGTTTTTGTAAACAACACCTCTGGCAGTCCACAGAAGTTCAGACAAACATACTAGACCAACGTGTGGAGAGAAGTAATGAGCGCTCCGAGTGATGAGGGCTCAGTCAGAGACTTAATTTTGTAAGTGCTTCTAGCCGAGGTGTATTACAATTTGCCTTTAGCTTTGCCTGAAGCTTATTTTCATGTTGACGTAGATTTAGACGGGAATAATATAATTTTAATTTTAATATTTTAATGGTTTTTAAGGGTTGTTTACTATGTATAAAAATGTATGGATTTTTGAGAGGGAAAATACATCAAACTTCTTTTTCCCTTTTTTTTGTAAGTGGAAAATCGTCAAATGACTTCTCCCGCCCAGGGCCGAGCGGGAGGGAGTGTCAGACTCTTACTGACTAAACACCCCCGTTCCTTCTCCTGCTCTTGGCCGAGGTCGCGGTGCCTCATTGCGCTTACCCCGCAACCCTGGCTGAACTTCTTTTTCCCTGGATGGGGCGAGAGAGAGAGAGAGTGTCAGACTCTTGCTGACTAAAAACTACCCCGTTTCGTCTTCTGTTCCATGTCGAGATCACGGTACATTATTACACTTAATCCGCAATTCTAGCTGAACATCCCTATTAGGATACTTGCTAAGGTAGATGTTGATTTCGGTCCTGAATTTCAAGAATTTTTCGGTTAACCCACTTCACACAAATTCAGTCAGATTAAGTCTGAAATGTAAAACTGAATAATATTATAATTGGTTACATAATTTTAACATGATGCGTAATAATTATGTGGAGAACATTACCAAGAAACTTTCGCCGCAGATATACGAGTCGTCTCGAACAAAGTTCTAATTTGAAATTTTAGTTACGCTTGCTTTTCTGTGAAAACCTAGTCAGGTATAAACTCAATTTTATCTAGTTATATTATCACAATATTAAGCATATTTAATTAAAATAATCTACATGATACTACATTTGAAATGTGTTTTTTTCTGTCGATGCTTTTTCAAATACAATATTTCAATTTAAAATAAACTCATTGGTGTTAATTAGAGATAAAATAGTGTATTTTTTTATGTGATAGGACAGCATACGATAGAATTACTTGATGGTAAGCAATTTGCCGTTGCTCATGGACACCCGTAATAACGGAGTAGTTACGAGTCCGTTGGCCACCTTTTTGGGATTTAGGGTTTTGGGGATTTAGGCATTGGATAGGGAGAAGGATAAGTTTACATATGGTATTCCGAAATACCGCTCATGAAAAGGAAGGTTTTGACTGGGCCTCCGGTAAACTCGCTCACACGGCGAAACACTACGCTGCGGTTGTTTCACGCCGGTTTGGCCTACAAGATTGACGTGAACAGTTTCGGAGAAATTACGTCTCCCTGCCTCACATCTTTCTGTAATTGGATTGGTTTTTCGGGAAATTATGGTGTCGTCCTGGAGTCGGATGAGCATGGTGGCGTTTCTATACAAACACCTAAGCACGTCGACATGGCATCGCTGGAGAGACTGCAGCACTGCTCAGGTTTCGATCGAATCGAAGGTTTTCTCATGGTCCACAAACGCTAGACACAATGGCTGATCATACTCCTCTGTCTTTTGCATAATCTGGCGAAGCGTATTTATGTGGTGCTAAAGCCTTTCCGGAACCCGGCTTGTTCGGGAGGCTGGAAGTCATCGAACCCGCGTTCAAGGCGGTTCGTGATGACCCTCGAGAACAGCTTGTACACATGACTCAGAAGTGAAATAGTTCTGTAGTTTTTCAACAAAGTGCTATCTCCCTTTTTAAAGAACAGAACTACCACACACCTTTACGGTGATTCGGGCGTAGTACTTTCGAGTATGACGGAATCAAATAGCTTTTGGAGGACTAAAAGTATCGGTTTTCCACCCGCTCGCAGCCATGAGTCGACATCTTACTGTTATTTATCCAAACTAATATTATAAATCCGAAAGTAACTCTGTCTATCTGTCGGTCTTTTTGTTTACTGAACCGATTGCTGTGAAATTTGGTACAGACATAGTTTGGAACTCAAGAAAGGACATAGGGTGGTTTTTATACCAAACATCTGCGGGAAGTCACTATTCCACGCGAACGGAGTCGCTGGCAAAATTAGTATTTTATTATATATAAATAGGATTACCTTTAAAATTTGATGGTACCTACATTTATTTACGTACCTAAATTACAATTTGAGTGGAATAATTATTCATTTAATTCCAATAACGGAATTAAAATCATTGACTGAGTAAATTTAAGCCGATGGAAATTTGTTAGTACAGTGTTCTCAATTTGGCTTTATTGTAATTATCTTAAAAAACATTTTGATGGGAAGGCGGATCCTGTATCATGGTTGACCAACCATTTTGTATTGAAATTCACCATAAATAATGGTTTTCAATAATATGTTGATATTCAATTTATGTTATAGATACTAGCATCTCCCCGCGACTTCATCGAAGTAATAATAATAATATAGTGGCGTAGCGCATGTATTTCTGTTCAGAAATTGCATAATAATCAATTCGGTAAATTATCGTTTTCATCCAATGCTTGCCATAAAACAAAAACTTTTGCACCAAACACAAGCTAGAGCTAATCCTCTCGTTAGCTGACTGACCTATATTAAGTATCAAAACGTTATTTCACTAAATTGTGTTCTCGGAAACCACAAATTAATTCAATTTAAATTCGTCTATTGAATAGAATTTGACCGAATAGAGGAATTTGTGAAAATAGAGATAAACCTAAATGAATTTGTAACGTGTTACTTACGAATGACTTGGGAACTTGGTCAGTGAGTTTAATTGAGAGCGAGAGAAAGAGAGAGAAGAGAGAAAGATAAAAAGAGAGAAAGAGAGAGAGAGATAATATACATGCGTGTACAAACACAGGTGAACGGGTTGACTGCATTGATAAAAAAAGACCTGACGCATCGCACGAGCCAAGGATCTCAAATTGGAGTACCGTGTCGGATAAATCATTATCAAAAAGTACGGTAATCAAGATATCTGACAACTCTTTCTCTTTATTCATCTGTTGTGCGCCACAGCTGATCATCATCATCATCATAGACAATTTGAAACTTATAACGAGACAAGGTGTTTTCCTTTACCGTATGATAGTGGTGTCTAAATAATCGACGAAAGCACATATAAATCGGAAAAGGTCACATTATTACTTGCCTGGTTTTCAACCCGTGCCCTCATGCACGAAAAGCTGAAAATTTGGGCCAACACGACGTTACAGCCGGATATAGGTCTCTGTAATAACACCTTGCAGAGTTTTATCATCAAATCAAATCAATCAAATCAAAATCATTTATTCCAACTAAACCATAAATAGGTACTTTTGAAACGTCAAAATAGAATAGTAGTCTGTCAGTCTGTTCGTCAGTGAAGCTAGGTCATCAATAAGCTCTTTGCATATAATCACGCTGCTAATCACTTACACACTGCGTTTGCCTATACGTTGCTTGCATTCCAAAACACTATTAAATCAGGAACATATTATTATATTAAAACGCCCATAAAATATACTTTCAGTTTAACTTAGGGATTCCCAAACAAAATGTAACGTTAAAGGAAAATTTCAAAAAAATTTGGCAACCTACAAGTGCTGCCACTGACGAGCTGTGTTAGAAAAATTTGCAAGTCTAATATCAGACTTCGTAGCGTGTTCAGATTCAATAGAAACGTTTCAGTAGAACCTACATTTAGCTCTCATTCGAATACTAATGAAGTTTTCAACGAAACTGAGGTATCAAAAATCAATTTCGCCCAAATGTTGTTTTGTTAGACGGTCTTAAGCATTTATTTTGATTGGTAAAGAGAATTCAAGGTCACAATGGCAATACCGCTTTATAGAATCCTTACGATACTTCTGTATTTTTATTGCTTCCCAAATTATTACCTGTTCTCTGTTCCGTATTAAGGAATGGAATTGTTTCCTTTTTTACGAAAATTAGATGCCACGATAATTGGCGCGAAATTAAAAGACGCATCTTTCTTCTTCTATAAAGGTATAATTTGATTTGAGTTCGTTATATTGTGATTGAAAGTTGTTTTTTGTGAGATTAATTATATAGACAAGTATTGCTACTTATTTTTTTAAAGCAGGTACTTAAAAAAAATCTTAGGACAAAATCAGACTGTGGATTTGGATATGATACCTATAGAAAAGTATTTGGCAATAGGCTCGTTCCTGTTACATATAACGTCATGAGTCTGATGAACCCAGAAAGAAAGTGGTACTGTACTGCGTCTAGACTAAAAAATGCTGTTCAAATAATCAACAGTTCAGCGATCATACCATATTCTTCATCAAACTCAGTAATCCTCACTCACAACTCAAAACGAAGAAGATTTTTTTTTCTTCATCAAATAGGTACTACGTAATATATACGTCCCATAGGAAATAAGATCCTTTTACGTTAGATGTAGATCATAAGTAACGAGATGAATATGTTCCAATTACTGGGACCTCGATCGACGATACAATTTTTATTCGTCATTTTGTGGCGAAATTACAACACCGAATCGGAACAACACTCGGCGATGTTTGTGAGAGAATATTTTTACAAAGGATGCTGTTGTTGTATTTTAACGATGTCTCTAGATTTTTTTTTTTTTTGTGAAACGACATTTCTCATTGTGTTTCTTTTTTGGTCGTATTTTTTAACAGTACGGTAGCACAATAATTAAAAGACTATTTATAGGTTTTAAAACCACGAACTGCTATTTTTGTAATAACCTTAGTATAAGTATGTAATAATAATGCGTATAAGTGCCAATTTCTATGAATAGATCTACTAAGAAGAAGTTAGTTTAAGGTCTTTTAATTAAATCCTCCATAAGGTATAAAATTGCACGATACGATATGAAGTACTGTATGTATATTATTCGTCGGCATCTTCAAAGAAATAAAAGCGGCAAAGAAGCGTGCAACATTAAAAAAAATTGAAGGATTCAATTTTTGAAATAGGTACAATTTAAGTCTTTATTAACACTGACTTTACTTTGCACACTGGTCGGTTTAAGAGCGTTTACGCGATTCGAGTTTCCTTATAAACTTAAAAGTAGGAAATAAATGTTAAACTTTTCAATCTTTGAAATTGAAAATACCATTGAAACTTGACACTTACGTGCAATACATTAAGGTCTAGAAAGTTACTTATGTACATTTTCAAACAAGCTGTAGGAGAATTGTAAATGTCTATGCTGTAACCACGTATACCTTCCTGTAATGAATACTTGTACTTTCTTTCGAATCAACTAAGATAAGTTTTAAATGCGTATAAGTGCCAATTCCCATTGAAATTGATTCTATAGTTTCCATAATTTAAGACTTGAAATAAATGTATGGAAACCAATGTTACGTACCCGATCAGGGTTCCAAAATAATCTCAGTACATTACTGCCGCAGTTAACATTGCCATGATTAACTGCTTAGCTATCTTGTCAAGCCCGTCAATTAGTGTTCATAGATAATCAGACTGACTGTAGGATTAGCTAATACTCTTGTCTGTTCAAATCCTTGTCTGTGGATTAAGCTATTGTTTGATCCACGTCTGTGTATGTTTTTGAGATTTATTCCTCATTTATCCACTGCGACTGATGAACAATAAAAGATCATGTCAAAATTGGCCCTGTTTAATAAAGAGTATCTGAATAAACTTTATGTTGTTTGTAAAACAAAAAAAAAAGGTTAAACCTAAAGATTATTACACTATTAGTAAAATCTAAACAGTTCCTGAAATAATATTTACAGTTATTATTTAGTTTCTGTCCCTTACGACAACGTTTTGTATGTTTATGTCACCACCATCATCAGCCTATAAGTGCCCACTGCTGAGCAAAGGCCTCTTCTCATACGGAGAAGGTAAGAGCATTAATCACCACGCTTGCTCAATGTGGGCTGGCGATTTCAAACTTATAATAAGAAATTATAAGTCCAGGTTTCCTCACGATGTTTACCTTCACCGTATGTTAGTGGTGTCTAAATAATCATAGAAAGTACATATAACTCGGAAAAAGTCACATTGGTACTTGCCAGGTTTCGAACCCACACCCTCATGCATGAGAAGCAGGCTCCTTAACCTCCGGGCCACTACGACACTGTGTTTATGTGTTACTGGTTAATTAAGCAGCGGTAAGACCCCTCTTTGAGGAGTGGCTTGAGAGGCGCCACGGCGTCCTCACCTTCCGTCTGACGCAGGTGCTTACCGGGCACGGCAGCTTCGGTAGGTTCCTGTTTCGGATCCAGCGGGAGGAAACGCGGGGTGCGTGACAGAAGACCTCCCCGTGGTGCACCCTGGGTGCGGGCGACAGTCTCCCTAACGGGATGGAGACAGGGTTGGATTGACTGTCGCCCGCAGCGAACTTCTGGCCGGGCGGAGAACCCGGTTGGGTTCTGGAGGCGACTGACTCTGTGCTGGCATAGGGCCTGCGCCTCTGTGGGGGCGTTCCTCCGCACGATTCTCTGGACCTAGCAGAGAACGTAGGGGAGGAACAAGGGCGGCGCTCGTTGTGCACTCACCCTGCCAACGAGTAGCATCGGGGCACTAGCTGCGCCCGACTGCACCCGTCGATATCGTAATCCGGGAAGAGATCATGGTCATGTTTTATGACTCGGACCGGGACGAGGGTCTTGGCTTAACCGCCCGGACCGCGAGGAAGATAACCTCTATAAAAAATTCCTCCAATACTAAGTTCTGGTGCGCGGCGAGGGTATGCATGGCTGAGGAGTGGGATCAGTCGTGAGCGCACCCCCAGCTAGGGGACCGGTGGACCCCCTAGTTGGGACACAAATATACACTTACCCAGGGACAGGGGGCTCTCCCTGGGTGGACTTTTTATTTCCCCCACACTCGTGGGACCAATATGGAAGACACAAAAATTAAAAAAAATAAAAATAAACCACCAGACGTGCAGGAGAAGGCAAGCGAACTCAGCTCGCTTGCAGGGGATGGTGAGAGCCAAAGTGGCTCTCGGGCTTGTAGGGAAGCGCTGGTCCCGTCCAGCAAGTCCCGGGCACGGGCCTCGGAGAGGAAGGAGTCGGATTCGGAGTCCGACTCGTCATTCTCTGGCGTCAGCATGGCGCTACGCCAGAAAAAAGACCGTGGCGTATTTAAACGTCCCAGGCTGGAGGATGGCCGAGAGGCGTCCTCCAACGAGCCGGAGGCCCCGGCCCCCAAAATCCCCACGGCTGCGCGGGGTAGGGGCAAAGGGAAGGGCTCCATAAGAGCGGCAGGGAGCCGCACCGAGCTGAGCGGCTGGCGGCAGAGGGTAGCGCTCTGGGAAAGGCCGCCCCCTCGGACTCCTCTGAGATGGAGGTGTCTTGCGGCGAGGGATCTGCGAGCGAAGGTGGCGCTGAGAGCCTTCGCAAAGAAGTAAAGGAAGCACTCCGCATGCTGGCTGGACAAAAAACCCAGGCGGGCCGAAACGGAGTGCTTCAACGCGCCGAAGCCGCCATTATGTCGGCGGTATCCCAGCAGGGCGTAGCAGGGCGGCAGATGGCCGCTATGCAAAAGGAGCTGGCCGCAATGCGGCGGGAGCTGTCCTGTTTGGCGGCTGCCAATTCTGCCCTGGAGGCTGAGCTCCGGGCGACAAGGGCCGAGCTCGCCGCTGCGCGCGGAGGCGGATCCCAACCTGCGCAGCCAGCGGAGGCCGATCTTCTCGGCCGAATGAGGCAAGAGATGGCTGCCTTCCAGCAGCGTTTTGACGTTTTGGAGGGTAAGCTTCTCCGACCCCCACTCGCGGCTGGTTCGTATGCGGCCGCAGCGGCAAGGCCGAAACCACCAACCAGCCGTGGCGCGCAGGTTGGCGCACCGGTGAAGAAAGGGTCGAAAGCGCCCGCCTCGGCGAAAGCGCCGACAGCTTTGCCCCCGACGAGGGCGCCTTTGTCTCCCCCGGCGTTGGCTCCGGCACCAACAAGCCGCAGACGAAGGGGAGCAGCGGCCGGTGTTCCAGCCGGATCGACGCCAACTCCGCCAGCGGAGTTTCGTGCCGATAGCGAGTGGCAAGTGGCAGGGGCGGTGAGGAGGGTCGCCAAAGAGGCGAGGAAGCGCCGGAAAAAGGAGCAGCGACAGCGGCGGCAGCAGCGGCGCAGGGAGAAGCGCGTCGCGGCTAAGCTTATTGCCCCTAAATCTTCGGCTGTAGTGATTACACTGCAGCCGGAAGCAGCAAAGCAGGGAGTGACGTACGGCGACGACCTTAAGAAATTGAAGGGGGCGGTATCTCCTGCGGAGTTTGGGGCACCCGACGGGTTCGCAGTGAGGGTCACTGCCACTGGAGCCCGTCTATTAGAGGTCCCTGGCGCAGCCAGCGGGTCCTCCGCTGACGCCCTAGCCGAGAAGCTCAGGGCGTGCCTTGCAGCGGATGAGGCTCGCGTGTCCAGGCCCACCAAGTGCCTGGAATTACGAATTATGGGCCTGGGCGATTCCGTCACAGAGGAAGAGGTGGCGGCTGCTATCGCCAGGACAGGGGGGTGCCCTGCCGCCCAAGTCAGGGCAGGCACTATCCGTCCGGACAATTCGGGGCTTCGGACCGTCGTGGTGAGCTGCCCCGTCTCAGCGGCGAAAATATTGTCGGAGGGCAAGAGACTCCTGGTGGGCTGGGTCTCGGCGCAGGTGAGGCTGCTCGAGCCCCGGCCTCTGAGGTGCTATCGCTGCCTTATTGGTCACCATGTAGGTGCCAAATGCACCTCGGAGGTAGACCGTAGCGACCGTTGCTTCCGCTGCGGTCAGCCCGGTCACAGGGCCGGCACTTGTACCGCCCCGCTGCACTGCGTGGTATGTGCTGCGGCTGGCAAGCCGGCCGATCACCGGGTTGGGGGAAAAACCTGCTCCCCCCCCGCCAAGCCCAGGGGAAAAGTTAGGCCCTCTGCCACCTCCTCTGCCCCCGCTGTTTCCACCGCAGCCTCCGCGAGTGCTGCTGCCAGAGAGGAGGTCGTGATGGACTGTCAGTAATGGCTCCATTACGCCTCCTCCAGGCGAACATCAACCACTGCGTCGCTGCTCAGGATCTCCTGCTCCAGAGCATGGCGCAGTGGTCGATCAATGTTGCTGTGGTCTCCGAGCCGTACTTCGTTCCACCCAGGGAACACTGGTTGTCAGACCTGGACGGCTCGGTGACCATCATCTCGTCGGCCGCCGCCGGTACCCCAACCCCCGAAGGGCCTCAGCGAGGCAGGGGTTGCGTCGCGGCTCGGTTCGGAGAGATCGCCGTGGTGGGCGTGTACTTCTCTCCGAACCGAACTCTCGTCGAGTTCCACAACTCCCTCAGGGAATTAGTCACCGTCGTCGTCGGGTTCCGTCCCCTCCCCGTGCTCGTCCTCGGGGACTTCAATGCCAAGAATTTGGCTTGGGGTTCTCGGCTCACTGATGTCCGGGGAAGGATGGTCGAAGACTGGGCTCTGGAGACAGGCCTAGTCGTGCTGAACCGGGGTTCTGTCCCCACGTGCGTACGGATGCGGGGCGAGTCAGTGGTGGACATTTCGTTTGCTAGCCCCGCTCTGTCATCGCGCGTTGTTGACTGGCGCGTCATGGAGGAGGTGGAGACGTTTTCGGACCACCGGTATATACGGTTCGACGTCTCCGCCGAGTCCGCAGACCCGCCAGTCAGACAGGCCCCGTGTGGCCCGCGTTGGGCGCTTAGGCAACTGGACCGGGAGCTTTTCCTGGAAGCCGCAGTCGTGCAGGCCTGGGTGATACCACCGGTCAGGCCAGCCGACATTAACGAGGAGGCGAGATGGCTCCAGGACGCCATGTCAAGGATGTGCGACGTGGCGATGCCCCGGATCCGACCGTGCCAACGCAAGCGCCAGGTGTATTGGTGGTCGCAGGAATTGGCAGACCTGCGCGGTGAGTGCACCGCAGCGCGACGCCGATACACCAGGCACCGCAGGCTCCGTCTCCGCCCTCTGGACGCTGAAACCAGAGAGGCGGAGCTGTACGAGGAGTACAGGGCGGCGAAGGCCACCCTCAGGGTGGAGATCCGGCGGGCCAAAGATCGGGCCCGCGAGGAGATGTTGGAGACTCTGAACAGAGACCCGTGGGGACGCCCCTACCGGATGGTGCGTGATAAGCTCCGCACCTGGGCGCCCCCACTGACTCAGAGTCTCCGGCCGGAGGTCGTGGACGAAGTGGTTGGGGCGCTATTCCCCCGACCACAGATAGGTTACACGCCTCCCACTATGTCTCCGCCCCCTGCGGTGCCCAATGCGGGCTACAACGACGACGACGGTGAATCCGCTCCGGAAGTGACCGAGGTAGATTTGAGGGTGGCGGTGCGCCGGCTGAGCGGCAAGAACACCGCCCCAGGACCTGACGGGCTGCATGCCAAGGTTTGGGTCCTGGCCTCGGAGGCTCTCAGGCCTCGACTAATTGGTCTTTTCAGCGCATGCTTGGAGAGGGGCCAGTTTCCGCTGTCGTGGAAGACGGGTAAACTGGTCCTCGTGAAGAAGCCGGGGCGTCCTGCGGACTCTCCGTCCGCGTACCGGCCCATTGTGCTGCTCGACGAGGTGGGAAAACTGTTCGAGAGGATTATATCAGACCGCCTCGTCGGGCACCTGTCTAGAAGGGGGCCGGATTTAGCGGACGGCCAGTTCGGCTTCCGCAGAGGGCGCTCCACGGTAGACGCCATCATGCGCGTGAGGGACCTCACGACGGGGACTGCGTTGGCCAGGGGGCGAGTCGTCGTGGCGGTGTCTCTGGACATCGCCAACGCCTTCAATTCGTTGCCCTGGAGCTGCATTCTGGAGGCACTCCGGTACCACCGGGTGCCTGCCTATCTCCGTCGTGTAGTCGAGGCTTACTTGACGGACAGATGTGTCATCTACCCCGGTCACCGGGGCGTGTGGAATCGGCGAGAGGTGTCGCGCGGTGTTCCACAGGGATCGGTCCTGGGACCTCTCCTGTGGAACATCGGGTACGATTGGGTGCTACGCACCGACCTCCCGAGCGGCGTCAACATTGTTTGTTATGCTGACGACACGCTGTTGCTGGCGAATGGGAGGTCACATCAGGCGGCGGCCGACCTGATGTCGCAAGCGGTCGCGACAGTCGTTGCAAGGATCCGGCAGTTGGGACTCGAGGTGGCGCTTCACAAATCCGAGGCCATGTGTTTTTATGGCCGTCGGAACGCGCCACCTCCAGATGGGTCCCAAATAATGGCAGGAGGAGTTACCATCGGCGTCGAGTCGGCGATGAAGTACCTGGGTCTCGTCCTCGACAGCCGATGGAACTTCACGGAGCATTTTCGTCGTTTGGCTCCTAAGTTGGAACGGTCTGGGGCCGCGCTCAAGCGGCTCCTTCCCAACCTCGGGGGGCCAAACGCCTCCTGCCGGAGGTTGTACATGGGGATTGTGCGATCCATGGCCCTCTACGGTGCCCCTGTGTGGGCGCCGGATTTGAAGCGGCGGCCGGCTCGTACGCTGGTCGCGTCCCAGAGGGTCATGGCTATCCGAATAATCCGCGGATATCGCACGATCTCCGGGGAGGCGGCGAACCTCCTTGCCGGATCACCGCCATGGGATCTGGAAGCGAAGGCGCTCGCGCGCGTCTACAGTTTGCGCGCAGACGCGCGTCGCCGGGGCGAGGATCCTCTGCCGCGCCAAATTAGTGCGTGGCGGAATGAGCTCCGGCGAGATCTCATGGCTGAGTGGAAGCAGCGACTGTCGCAACCGAGGGCCGGGCACGCTACTATAGCAGCGATAAGACCCCTCTTTGAGGAGTGGCTTGAGAGACGCCACGGCGTCCTCACCTTCCGCCTGACGCAGGTGCTTACCGGGCACGGCAGCTTTGGTAGGTTCCTGTTTCGGATCCAGCGGGAGGAAACGCCCGAGTGTCGTCATTGTGAGGATCACCTGGAGGACACGGTGGAGCATACAGTGGCGGAGTGCCCTGCTTGGGCTGAGCACCGCCGTGTTCTCAGGGAACTGATCGGCGGCGGCGACCTCTCGAGCCCGGCCTTAATCGAGGCCATGGTGCAGCGTGAGAGGAACTGGGAAGCTATCTCCTCCTTCTGCGAAGCAGTTATGCTCGCAAAGGAGGAGGCGGAGCGCGTGAGGGAACTATCCTCCTCGCGCCCCAGCCGCCGCAGAAGGCGACATTCCGGACGTCGGGGATCGAGAGATGATCTCCGGCCACCGTAAGCGCGGGTCTGCGGACGGCGAGTAAGGGTAGCTCGCCGCCCGACCAGAACCGGACCCGAGCG